TCCCAAAGTGCTGGGATTACAGGCGTGAGCCACTGTGCCATGCCTGAATTTCTCCTTTGAAGGAAGATCTGAGTGTAAAAGCAGGGAATGTCTTTATTTAAAAAAATGAAAAACTAAAGCTAAAACAAAATAACAATCACCTTTGCCACCTCCATTTGAGAGAATACTTCCAGGGGGTCTGCGTGTCTGGTCCCCAGCCTGGTTGGGGATTTCACTTTCAGAGGCTCAGGGATGGGCCCTCCCCAGCCCCACCAGCAAATCACCCCTCCTGCTTCCAGGAAGGTACTTGCTCTCCAACAAGTGGGCTTTATGGGCCAGGAAGGATGACAGGAAGGGGTGTATGGGGTACTCTGTCTCTCCACACTGGGAATCCGAAAGCCAAGATACCCAAGATTCTATCGCTAGCTGCTTGTCTTGTAGAAGCCCCTCTGTGAGACTGAGGGGCAAAGGAGAGAGGGCAGGGGCCTGTCTCAACCCTTCTGGCTACTTCTAGGTTGTGCTGACTGCCACTCTTGTTACTATGATGGACTCTCAGGTCAGCAGGTGGCCCAGGAGGGCTTGCTTTATGCCCTCCTTTTGTCTTCTTCCTTTTGTCTCTGTGCCATGCCCGTGAGGTAGTTGGTACTTACTGTAATCCCCATTGCATGCATGAAGAAACAGGCACAGAGAAGCCAAGTGACTTTTCCAAGGTCACACAGCCTGAAGGGACAGCTCACCCTCCCAGCTGTTTCCCTTCTAACACCCTTGGGCCTGCCTCCAGCTAGATGCTGCAAATCAGTCCTCTCTTGAGAGTCAAAGCAAAGGAGATCCGAACTTGTAGTCACAGGTACTGTGACACAGAGTTGGGGATAGAGCTGCACCTTGCATTTCCAGGTCGCATCTTCCCCACAGTCCGTAGTGGGCACTTGTGTTCATGATTCAATTACTCAGGCTCTGCATCTCTGTTCCTGCCACTTGCTCTGTGACCTTGCCTCTCTGGATCCCAGTTCCGTCCGTTAGCGATGGGGGCGGGGTCGGTGGCATGCCTAGGCGGGACAGTGCAGATTACAGAAGTCAGCGGACGAGAAGAGCCGCAGCACGTTGACCAGAGGGAACATGAGCAGCGCTCCGAGCAGCGAGCCCAGCTGCACCGCCGCTCCGCACCACAAGAGGGCGCTGCGGCTGAGGTCGCGCAGGATCACGCCTAGCATCACTTTGACGTAGCTGAGGCAGCCGCTGAAAAGCACCCACGAGGCCACCTGCGGGGACGGGAGGGAAGAGATGCAGAGTGACAGGGCTTGCAGGGCGAGCGCCAGGGCAAAGAACTCTCACAGGGCTCAGGGAAACCCATGGAATACTCTCTAGGTGCAAGGACAGCCTTCTGGGAGTGATCCTGAGGGGCTGACGGGTCCCATGAGTTGACCGCCCGGGGGCAAAGGAGAACCCAGTGGCTTTTCTGGGCTCATGTGCTCATGATCAAGTCAAGGGCCTTTGAGAGAAGGCCAGTGCTGAGGTACACATGGTGGGAAGAGGCCTACCAGTCACCTCGATTCCCTAAGCCTCCACTCTCAAATGAGGAAGGGGCACCCCTCCCACCTGGCGCTTCCTGGGAGAGCCCCACAGACTCTGCTCGCGGGAAAGGGCTGCGCCCAGGCTCTCCCAGGCCGTGGCTAGGAGCTGAGGGGTACAGAGTTGAGGGGTACGGAGCGGGAGCAGCCCCACCGGCCGGATACTCACGATGAGGACTTCCCCACCCCAGTGGCCCTGCAAGAGGGGGCAGGGGCTCATCACCGCCATGGCCATGTTGTAGCCCCCAAAGAAGGTCCCAAGCACGGAGAGGACCCCCAGGAACAGCAGAGACCTAGAGGAGAGTGGGGGAGGTGAGTGGAGGCGAGAAGCCTGACCTCTGCCTCCCCGCCCCCGCCGGGGTCCATGTGGATGGCCAGTGTCTCCAGAGTTAGTTTAGAGCCATGTGGACAATTCCAGGCTGCCTGGCCCAAGTGGGTCAGGGAGGTTCCTAAGCGGGCAGGGCTGGCCTGGGTCGTCCCCAGCATTAACGGTAGGGCCTGGCACCCCAGCAAGAAAAACACAATGGAGTCTGGCACCGGATGGTCCTGGTTCAAATCCCAGTTCTACTGTTTAAGCTGAGACTAGTCTCTGAGCCTCCAAATGGGAGTTTTGCAAGTCTGCGTGACCTCCAGGAGCAGAGCATGCAGGGCCTGGCTCAGCTGTGGGCCCATCTAGTGTTTACCTGCTGCTATTTCCTCCTGCAACACACCCCCAGCCTCAACCAGGAAGCTGGGCTGAAGTGAAGATGGCTGGATCGGGGCATTGGTACAGCAAACCCTGCTGTGCCTCCTCAGGGGACCCCTCCCCATCTGGCCTCAGCTACCTGCCTCTGCAGTGTGGAGTTTGCTGATCTCCAGGGGCCCTGGCAGCTGGTTTGCTGCTGCTAGGAGCATCTCTCTACAGGTGGCCTTCCATGCCAACCTGCATCTGACAGCTGAAGACACTGTCCTTCCTCAGAAGTCCTTGTCCCTGGGGTCCCATTCTCCAGTCTCCAGAACACCAAGACTGGTCCACGCCCTGGGTAAGAACAGACGGAGGTCTGCCTATACCCTCAAAGACTCTTTCTGCTCCAAGATTCTTGGATTCCATGACTCAGATTCCGTAATTCTAATATTTGGGGTTTCTTAGATTTGCAGGTTGGGGCCTTTGGTCCTGCTTCGCTCAAATCCTCCATCCTCTTTCCAGTTTCTAGGTCCCAAGGTAGAAAATTAGCTTTCTGGCAAGCTTTTTGTCAAGATCTTCTGTCCTCACTGTCCGCC